AGCCCCACATCCCACCAAACCCAAGCAACCACTAATTACCTTGTATTTTTTCTGCATGGTACAAGTATTTAGCAAGGTGCTAGGTGTATTATTAATATTAGTTACCATTATTAAGAGCTTAATGTGTGCAAACAATTACATTATCAAACTTAATCTTTATCACAACTCTGTGAGGTTGACATTTACTGTCATCTCAAAACCAAGGACCTTGAAGCTTAAGACAGGTCAAATGACTTGTAACATGGCCAGTAAATGGTGAAGTGCCATTCTATCCCAGGTCTTTCATTCCAAAACTCATAACATATATTGTTATGAGTTTTAATAAACTAAATTTTTGAAGCTATGCAATCTCTATGAGAAACTACTATTTTTAAATGTAGTAGAAATGCTTAAGTTGTTTAGTTTTATTAACTTGCATATGAAATTTGCTGCATGTTACAATTCAGTCTAACTAATGTACAATATATATGGTTATACTTTCCCCTTTTATAATCATCTCCCTTTAAAATTTGTGTTTTGCCTTAGTAATTCTCATATCAATGGATTTTATTTCTACTTTGTCAGTAATGACTTTTCTACTATTGCAGGAAATACTTTAATCCCTTTATAGCAATAAATCTTACCCCTACTTAGACATCTTACTTCCTTGGACACAAGATTTTTTTAATCTCTTTGTTTTTGTATTACTAGTAATGCTGCATATTACACAGTTATGTGAAAGGAGATAGTGCTTCTGTATCTAATTTATAAATTTTAAATTTTAGAAAAGCCACAGAGCACTATGTAATATGATCTCATGTATCTCATGTATAAAATAAATAATACATATTTGATATAATATATATATATCCTAGATATTTATAGATTGTATCTGGCAAGAGATAAAAGAAACCCCTAAACGTGTAGCTGTGAGAGCCAGAATAAGTGGGGAGGGAACATATACCTCTCTGTTCTCCTTTTTTCTTTCTTTTTTTTTTTTTTAAGTTTCTCTTTCTAGTCTTTTCACACTCTCATCTTTGTCTTTGTTTTCCTTCACTCTTTGTTTTTTGGGTTTTTTAAAAATAGTCTGTTGTGTCTCCACATCCTTCTTCAAGCTCATGTGAATGTACAGACAGATGTAAGGAGCTTCGGGGGCATATCAGTCATTACTTGTTAGTATACATGTATTTATTTATAATCCTCACCTGAAGATATATTTATTGAAAAGAAGGGGGAGGGAGAGAGAGAGAGAATTGATCAGTTACCTCCTGTACATGCCCTGCCAGGGGATCAAACCCACAACCTAGGTATGTGTCCTGACTGGGAATCTAACCTTCCACCCGTTAGTGTACCAGACAGTGCTCCAACCAACTGAGCCACCTGGCCAGGTCTGGGTGTCATTACTTTTATAAAAATAAGATTACATTAGAAATATTTCCTTGGAACTTGGTTTTCTCATTGTGGACATCTGTTCCAGATATTTGTGGTTGTTCCTTTTTAATATCTGTGTACTATGCATACCATAGTGTAATGGGCTCCTTATTGGTAGACTTGTTGATTTTATTTTTTGCTATAACAAATAATACTGCAGCGAATATCCCTATACATTTATCTTTGTGCATTTGTTTATACATCTCTAGGATATGAATTAAGGATTCTGTATATTAAAATTTTTGAATCGTCTGTTGTAAAGGTTATGCCACTTCAATAGCAATGTGCACAATAACTTAAATCCTCATCTAAATGTTATTCCTCTCCAAAAGGAGCTTAGTAGAATGACTGGCTCCAGATCTGTGGCAGGTGAAGGATAAAGTCAGCCTAGGACATCTTGTGCCAAAAAAACACATGGAACCTTCAAAGACCACTGGGGTCTAGTCAAAAGGACACAAAGAGCCTGCTGGAAGATTTTCTACTGGCCAAATTTAGGACAATTTGAAAATCAAATGCATAATTATAATTACACTGTATTGGATTTTTAAAAATGAATGAGTCTTTGTGATACTAAATGAAAGATGGTAGAGGGAGAGAGTAAAACTTTTTAAAAGAAGAATGCTAGCTAATAAATGTAGAAGGAATAGAAGTATTTTTAAAAACCCACCATTTTGCAATCCCCTGTGTAGTATGTAAAATAAAATTCAGGCATGGATCCTCATGGAAGCTGAAACATTAGGTGAGAGACTGTTGAACTGTTCACATGGTGCAGCAGCTTATTTAACATTCACAAAGGGGACTTCTGGCCAAGATGGTGGCATATGTAGATACATTGCCTCTCTTTGCACAACCAAAAGAAGGACAATAACAAATTTAAAAACAAAAAATAACCAGAACTACCAGAAAATTAAACTGTATGGAAGTCCAACAACCAAGGAGTTAAAGAAGAAACATTCATTCAGACTGGCGGAGACAGACAGCCAGGGCAGAGAGGATGTGCGGCAAGATGGCAGCTGGCAGGCCTGGTGGACCGGGTGGTCCCACATTTGTGTGCAGATAAACTGGAAGGAACAATTGGGGAGTGAGACAGACTGTGCAACCTAGGGTTCCAGCATGGGAAAAGAAAGCCTCAAAACCTCTGGCTGAAAAAACCTGTGGGGGTTGCGGCGGCACAAGAAACTCCTAGCTTCACAGGAGAGTTTGTTGGAAAGACCCAAAGGGCCCTAGAACTTACACAAACCCACCCACCCAGAGTGGCATTGTTCCCTCTCCGACTCCTCCCCCATATATAGCACCACAAGCCATTGAAGTGGGTTGCCCCACCTTAGGGAATACCTAAGGCTCCGCCCCTTATTACATAACAGGCACGTGGAAAGAAAAAAAATATGGCCCAAATGAAAGAACAGATCAAAGCTCCAAAAATGGAACTAAGTAATGAAGATCAATACCCAGCCTACCAGATGCAGAGTTCAAAACTCTGGTAATCAGGATACTCACAAAAATGGTGGGGTATGGTCACAAAATAGAGGAAGTGAAAGCTATGCAAAGTGAAATAAAGGGAAATATACAGGGAACCAACAGTGAAGGAAAGGAAACCGGGACTCAAATCAATGATTTGGAGCAAAAGGAAGAAATAAACACTCAACCAGAACAGAACAGAACAGAACAGAAACAAGAATTCAAAAAAAATGGGAGAGGCTTAGGAACCTCTGGGACAACTTTAAATGTTCCAACGTCCGAATAAGATGGGTGCCAGAAGGAGAAGAGGAAGAGCAACAAATTGAAAAAAACTTAGTTGAAAAAATAATGAAGGAGAACTTCCCCAATCTGGCAAAGGAAACAAGACTTCCAGAAAGTCCAGGAAGCTCCGAGAGTCCCAAAAAAGTTAGACTCAAGGAGGAACGCACCAAGGCACATCATAATTACATTAGCCAAGACTAAAGATATGGAGAGAGTCTGTGGATCAATCTATGGTATGACCTTAGGTAGACTATATTAGTAATTTCTCTGAGTCTCAGAGGTCTCATTTGTAAAATTGATATTGAATCAGACAAATGCATAAAAATAACCTAAATATACTTTGTTTAATTTGTATAATTTGTTAATAACTTAAAAACAATTTAGTGTGTAGTAAAAATTTAACATATTGACTCATCTCTGCCATCAGAATCTATTTGTGGCCACCAAGTATGTAGCTGAATGGAAACTACGAGTCTGTTTTTTTTTCCCACAAATAATATCTTTATCTAATTATTCTGAGTAATTTGATGTCATTTTAAAAGAATTCCCTATACTTGCTTAGATCTATAAGCTAATGAAGCTCCTGCTATGCCAGAAAGCCTTCTAAATTCCACATGTTCAAGGGAGTTTTTAGACAGGAGAGCATGGATTAGAGTATTTTTGTACTGATGAAAATTTAGATTGTCTTATATGGAATCACCAATTTTATATATCGAAATGGTCAAATATCAGCAGTTTGATGGGGCTCAACCTAATCCATGCTTTAGTGGCAGAGGCTTAGTCCATTGTCTTCATTTGCCAAGCAATGTTTTTCTCCCTCTTGTTTTAGAGAAAGATTTGCTCAGAGGAGGCAGGAGGAAGGATTTGGATTGATCCACGTTTGAAGGGAATCATGATGTGGAGTGGTATTCTACATAATTATCTTAGGATGTTTCATCATTTCATACTCTCTACTCCCAGCCCCATGTATAAATAGTTGCTGTTTTCAGCCCTTTCTTACCTCTCACCTCTTTTTTCCCCAGGTAGTAGGAAACAAGGCAAAAGGAAAGAACATGCTTTTAGCTCTTCTTTTTCCTCACTTTAAACTCTGAATTAGTCTTTTAGAATAGGTAGTTACAGAATCTTCAAAACTTGAGAGTTCTCTGATTATTTTCCAAAGGGAGCACTTAAAAATAATAACATACTGCCCTGGCTGGTGTGGCTCAGTGGATTGGGTGCCAGCCTGCAAACCATGGGGTTGCTGGTTTGATTCCCAGTCAGGACACGTGCCTGGGTTGTGTGCCAGGTCCCCAGTTGGGGGGTGCGTGAGAGGCAGCCACACATTGATATTTCCCTCCATCCCTCTCTTTCTTCCTTCCCATCTTGTTAAAAATAAAAATAAATAAAAAATCTTTTTAAAAAAGAATTGCTTCTCTTTAAAAAAAAATAGTGTATATTTTTTTTAACCCTAGTTACCCAGAATACGGAAGGTACAACAGGTTAAGGGATTTCAAGTGTATTTTCTTTTATAGAACATAAGCAATTAAGTAACAGCTCCTAAGGGATTGGAAAGGAAAGTTTCAGGCTGTAAAGGAAGTACTGTACTGAACTTATCACATTATAGCAAGAATCCTCCATGGGAATGGCTCTTATTACAAGGGCCATAATGTATCTCCATAAGAAAGGGACTCCCTCAAAAAATGTGTTCTAAGCAGATGTGTCGAGTTTCAGTATTTCCTCAAGCAAGAGAAAATAAATTCACTTGAAAACCTTCCCTCTGTTCAAACCTGTGTATAAATGGCTTTATTAAAATCTTAAATTCTCAGCAAGCCAGGTCATTGCCAGTGTAAAAATTATTGTTCATGTCCTAGACAGCTGCTCAGGAAGCAATCTTGCATGCGTCTGCAAATGGCACGTCCTCCCCATCTAAGGACTACTGCATGCTCTATAACCCTCACTGGACAGCTCTTCCAAGTACCCTGGAAAATGCAGTAAGTATTGTAAACCATAATACTTAGTTGCTGTTTATTTATAAACATAAAAATATATTGAAAGGTGAAGATGAGTGTGCATTATGTTTTAGTGTATGAACCAGTTGTAATACATGATTAATAAGTAATAATTGTTTTATTGCTTTACCTTAAGTATTTTTCTCTCTGGGGAAACAAATTAGGGAATTTTAAAATACCTGAAGGCCTGATCAAAATAAAATATTTTTAATTTAAAAGAACATTGTATTAAAGCAGTAGATAACTTTGTCACTAAATGCATTTAGGGTGAAATATGATGTTTATTGTGTTAAAGATATTTCTCCTTTTCAGACTGCCATTAGTTTGATGAATCTGACGTCCACACCGCTGTGCAACATTTCTGATATTCCTCCTGATGGAATAAAGAACAAAGCCGTTGTGGTTCAGTGGGGAACCTGCCATTTTCTTGAAAAAGCCAGAATTGCACAAACAGGAGGTGCTAAAGCATTGTTGGTTGCCAATAACAGTGTCCTAGTAAGTCATGACACTATACTAACTTCTTTTGAGCTCATGATATCAAATTTCACAGGTTGAACTATATCTTCTTTGTATGTGGCTTAGGGGCTGAGTTTTGAATAATTTCATTGATAGGATTCTATTTAAATAAACATTCTGGTTATGATATGCATTTAATGGGAAAATTTTATTGTTTCTTTTCTGTTCCTAAAGTAGACAAGACTTTGTTAGGAACAAATGTTTGTGTAAGTGTGTGTGTGTGTTACATGTTTATGATATACTTGTATATAAAAATTTGAGAATTCTTGCTATAATATTAAAAACATGAAACTTTGTTTTATAATTTTAAAAAGATGTAATATATCTAATGAAATAATGGATTTGGATTTTATTCTGTAAATATATGAGTAGTTCATATGTTTTCATAATATGTTTTTTTCTTTTAGTTTCCTCCCTTAGGGAACAAATCTGAATTTCATGATGTGAAAGTACTGATTGCATTTTTTAACCACAGAGACTTTAAAGATATGAAGCAGGTAAATCAGCAATTACATATTAGATAAAGTTCATAAGTATTATAACACTTTACTTTTGACTACTGATACTCAATTTAAACTATTGTACATGCTCTACTTGCTAACAAGAAGCTATAAAGGCCATCAGGTCTTTCCTTGGGAAGTATTCATTTCCCACTGAGCACAAGGCATTTCAGAGCCCTGACTTTAGAAAGGCTATGTACTTGCTTTGACTTCTTTAAAAAGTTCTGATTGCGTGGAACACTGCACTTGCAAGATTTAATAAACCAAAGTATAGCCTCATGATTTCGACAGGAGAGTATATCATGCGGTCAAAACTACTTCTGGTGTCCTTGACTGTCTGTTGTATAGTGTCCGTTCAGAGTGAAATTGGAGTGTTGCTGCCATACACTATAGTGGACAGAAAACTCATTCCAGGGCTTTAACTCTCATTTTTTGCCTTTCAGACTCTTGGAGATAACATTATTGTGCAAATGTATTCTCCTCCATCATGGCCAAACTTTGACTATACTATGGTGGTTATTTTTGCAATTGCTGTGTTCACTGTGGCATTAGGAGGATACTGGAGTGGATTGATTGAATTGTAAGTTTAATTTAAATTTAGTGTTTTGTGGTAAATGGTTAAAAACTATTGTTTGAAATAATTTTAATCATGTAACAATATTTAAAATTCTACTCTACCTGAGAATATAGTGCCATTAAGATCAGATTGCAGTTTGCCCTCATACTGGTCATTTAACTTTGCACTGGGAAGGGAGTCATTGGTTCCTCTGACTCTTTGCCTGGAAGAAAATAAGCAAGAGAGGGTGGGGCATTTTTCAGCCCCTCCTGGGCTGAGTCATTACAGTGTGACCTAATCTTTCTGTTCATTGCTTTTCCATGCTTTAGGAGTTCTAAGGATATTAATCATGCTTATATTTTAATTTAAGTGTAGAAATTTCAAATGTACATAAAATTTGGATTTCTCTACTTAATAAAAACCTAAACCCAGTCTTCTTACAGTTATGTACCTTTGGCTCTAGATTAAAGCAGGCAATGTAGTAGAGAAAGATCAGATTATAATTCTGAATTTAAAAAATGTGCACAGAGCATATTATTTCATCCATAAAGGACAATATATTTACCTTGTGAGTTGATCTTTAGATTTCATTTAAAAGGGTTTATTTGGAAATAAATGAAGCTCATACGCTTATTTGTAATTTCTTAAAATACTCAAATTTGACTGACTTACATCAAGAGAGAAATCTTAGGGTTTAACAGTGTAGATTCCTGCAGTATTGAGCTTTAAATATTTTACATATTTGGAAAACATGTTTCAACATGTATCAGTCACATGTTTTCATGTAAGCATTGTTTTTTTCTTCATTAATATTCTTCCATATAAAGCATAGTATATAAGAAGATCTTCAGTTGTTTTCTGGATTATTTCTTGAAACTTTATAAATAATTTCCAAAAAGCTACTGATTCATTAAAAATGTTTTCCTGTTTAATATGGATTCACCCTATACTACCATTACTATCTAAATTGTTTCTTTAGAATAGTGCTTCTCAAACTGTGATATGCATACAAACTGTTTTAAGATTTCATTAAAATAGAAGTTCAGATTTAGGGAGCTTGCAATGGGGACCAAGATTCTGCATTTCTAACACGCTCCCAATCGATTTTGCTGACCCATGGACCACACTTTGAGATAGCAAGGCAAGCTTTATATACACGTCAGGGCAGGCTGCTCAGGAAAACTGGAGATGGGAAAGGAGTACATGTAAGTTATTTTATTCATAAAACATCTTGATAGGCAGAGACAGAATTTGTTGCCTTAGATAGCTAGGTTGGGAGAGATGTCCCTAACCTGTAAGCTTGTGGATTTTAAAATTGAGGTGGGTGAGTCTAAGAGTAAGGTAAAGATAGAAAAAAGTGTCTGTGTTTGGGGGTAGGGACGTGACAATATAAAGAAAGAGAATATGGCCCTGGCTGGCGTAGCTCAGTGGATTGAGCGTGGGCTGGGAACCAAAGTGTCCCAGGTTCAATTCCCAGCCAGGGTACATTCCTGGGTTGCAGGCCATACCCCCCAGCAACTGCACATTGATGTTTCTCTCTCTCCCTCTCTCTCTTTCTCCCTCCCTCCCCTCTCTAAAAAAAAAGTAAATAAATAAAAATCTTTAAAAAAAATAAAAAGAAAGAGAATATGAAGCAGTGATAAAACAAAAACATTTCCATGAGAAGTAGGGTTATTAAGAACGTAAGGACCATCATTTCATATGTAAAGAGTAAGATCGAAAGGGAAGGGGAAAGAGAATAAAGCTTAGGACAGGGAAGTTTTGCCAGAACAGGACCTCATAACCCAGAGTTACCTTGCCAGCAACCACACAGGTTGCCCCTTATGCAAAAGGGAAAGATGATTTGGTTCCATATGAAGACTTTTCAGTAAAGACTTCAAGTCTTATTATTATGATGAGACCACTGGTCCCCAAGCTTTGTAAACTCAAGATGACATGGAAGAAAGCTTAGCTTCCCCACTATTGCATGTGACTCTTGAGCAATTTAAGAGTATAAAAAAGTATTTTAGTGTGATATAAATCTAGTATACGGTTTCTCTTCAAGAAATTGCCTGGTGCTTTCTATTATACTGAATACAAATACATAAATCTTTCTTTATTATGACTTACATGTGTACTCTGATAAAAACGTCTTTAAACATATATTTGTAATGACAGATACCATAGGTTGGCACATTTGGGTATCACTTTTATTAAAACTTATGTTAATAACCTTGTAGCTCTACAGTTTCAAGGAGGTACTGGTGTGTCTTTCCCCAAATTCTCTCCCTTCTTTAATAGAGGTAGGTTTCCTAAAGTCACAGGTGCTTAATATGGTGGCCAATCCCAGTTGACAGTATTCTAATAAGAGAATGGCATGTTGGTAAATAAGCAGTTTGGTAAATGTGTAATTTGGTAGAAATAAATTTTTTAACCTAAAGTTTGTGTTGAGCCGAGACCTGATGAGAAGGGTCAGGGAGTGCACACAGGGAACAGAGTTTAGTAGACCAGCGTTGATGAAATTGGAGCTGGAAAAGTATGCAGTGGCTTCCTATACCTGGGAGGAGATAGAAGGTGACAGAACAGAGACTGCTCAGTCAGGGGCACTTGTGGCTCACTCCTCTTCAACTTCAGTCTCTCCTTTTATTAACTGTGTGACCTAGCAAGGATTATTGGAAGACTTAAAAGAATATTTTGCTGTCTTAAATCAAGGTAGGACAAAGCTATGTCTTGAAATTCCTGTGAGTTCATAATACACTGATGAGCTTATGGTAAACACTGAGTTGATGGAAAGAATAATTTAGTGTTTCCATTTAAAAGAAGCTAATTTTAGAAGTACTGTGTGTAAATTGATAATATTAAGAGTGTCAGAAGAATTAGTTATTTATTCGTTCACTGGAATTTCCAAATTAGATGATATAAACATCCACAAACAACAATTTATTTATATATGTCATCCATTTCAACAATTTCGCCGCCAGGAAGAAAAGGCCGTGTCAAAGATAATGGCTAATAACGTTATCTCTGGAGGGTAGAATAATAGAGAGTTTTTACTTCTGGCTTAAATACTTCTCTTTGGTGTGCAGTTTTTTTTTAAGTGTTTTACTTTATAATCAATGACATTTAAGTTGGTGTTAAAAATTGATTTTAAAAATAATTGCACTGGGAAGAGATTTGCTGAAGTTTTGTGTGTGTTTGTTTAGGGAAAACATGAAGGCCATAGCAGACACTGAAGACAGTGACAGGAGGAGAAAGAAGGAAGACTATTTAACTTTTAGTCCTCTAACAGTTGTAGCATTTGTGGTCATCTGCTGTGTTATGATGGTCTTGCTTTATTTCTTCTACAAATGGTTGGGTAAGAAGTCATGTTTTGTATTTGGTATTTTTAGCATACAATCTTTCACTTACTTTGCCAGATTTCTTTTTCCTTAAGGCATTCTACCTGGAAAACTTAAGTGAATAGTTAAAAAGTGGTATTAACTTTTTAAATTGTTAGAAGTGTTAGGTCCCCATTACTCTGAAATAAAAAAAATATTCAGATTAAAAATATACTGTCTTGAGCCCTGGCCACATGGCTCAGTTGGTTGGAGCGTCATGCTGAACAACAAGTTTGTGAGTTTGATTCCCGGTCGGGGTACGTGCAGGAGGCTACTGATGATGTTTCTCACACCAATGTTTTCTCTCTCTCCCCCTTTTTCTCTCTCTAAAATTATTAAACATATCCTCGTGAGAATTAAAGTAAATAAATAAATATGTTTGTATATATGTATGTATAGTCTTGAGATTGGAAGACTTCTTCATGGATGACTTGAAAGAACTGCTATGGTTCCTAAATTTCCCTCTCTGCAGATAAAGCATGACAGACTAGTATCTAAAGAGCAGGACTTCCTGGGGCCTATATTTAGTTACATGAAATAGACGACTATTCAAATTACTGATTTATGGCCTTTGCTTACTTCCAAAGTGTAGTTTATTCTTTTGTCAGTTTGCAAATCAAGATGTATCACTTGAATTTGATTTCATTTGTATAAACAGTTAGGATCAGATTATCGATACTCCTAAAGACACACAGGTACATGCCTGTTATCTAGAGAATAACTGGTACTTCTTCCTTTAAGTAGGTAGGGGTAGGAGCTATAATGGCTTGTCCATCCCCTAGATAGTCGTCTGAATTATCAGACAGGATGGAAATTTGACATCCCGGCCAATGTACAGCACAAAGAGGAGGTGGTAAGTCCAGGCAAAAGGGGAATATGCCTCATGAAAACTAGCAAAAACCCTTTGTAAAAGCCACCAAAGGCTATAGCGCTTACTTGAAGAACCTTAGCATAATTTTCTGAACTAGAAAACTGAGGTCCTAAGGTTAGTTTCAGGTTATTCAACTTTTGCTGTCCTGTGGCAGAAATTTAAAAATATGACCTATGACATATATTTCCAGTTAGAAAAAAATCATTCTTTGAGTATCACTCATATTTCAGTCTGTTGCTGTGAAGTGAGTTCTAGGGTGTTACTTGTATTATGTTGTCACTGAATGGCTAATTTTTCTGTTTTACTAGCCTTCAATTGTTTTTGTCTGACCTTCAGTCAGTATCAAGTGGTCGTTGATAGGAAAAAAGAGACTCTTGCCCTGGCTGGCGTAGCTCAGTGGATTAAGCACAGGCTGGGAACTAAAGTGTCCCAGGTTCGATTCCCGGCCAGGGTACATTCCTGGGTTGCAGGCCATAACCCCCAGCAACCGTACATTGATGTTTCTCTCTCTCTCTCTCTCTCCCCCCCCTTCCCTCCCTAAAAATGGATGAATAAAATCTTTAAGAGACTCTTGTACCCTGTCCTAAAGCATGTTTTAATTCTGGGTGTGATACTTCCTTAAACTGATTGCTATTTTAAAAGTTGACCCTGTTTATAAATGTAATTTTTGATGTAGGAGAAAAATTATTAAACCTCAAAGTTATCCCAGAATATGGGATTTAATTATAACTCTTCAGAATATCTATCTATCTTAGCCATTTACTTAATTCATTTATTTATTTAGAGAGGGGAAGAAGAGAGAGAGGAACTTCGATTTGTTGCTCCATTTATTTATGCGTTCATTGGTTGCTTCTTGTAAGTGCCCTGACTGGTGCTTGAAACTGCAAGCTCGGCGTGTGGGATGAATCTCTAACCAACTGAGCCACCTGGCCAGGGCCATAACTCTGAGAATATCTTATGTGATATTGCAAGATTTACTTCACCTCCAAATGGTTTTTTATAGCTAAATATGCTGTCTTTTCTTAATGTATTAAATAATGGGATTAAATAATGGGAATCCTAGCAATTTAGCATGTAATTGTTTGGATTCAGCTTACCATTTTATGATTGTCATGGTCAAGGAAGTAACTAAAGACAGTTATGTTAACCATATGCTTCTCCAAGCCCAATCATTTTCTTAGCTATAATGTGATACTAAATGAGATAACCTGAAATCTGGTAGGGCCTCAAGAGCCTAATTTCCACCACTATTTTAAAACTTGTGTTGGAGACCTTTGGTGAATGACTTATCATACTTAAGTTGGCAATCCTTGACTCTTGATCTTACTGTTCATATTACCATATATAACCAGTGATTAAAATAACATCAGCCTTGACTGATGTGATTCAGTTGGTTGGGTATCATTCTGCAAAGCAAAAGGTCACCAATTCAATTCCTAGTCAAGGTCACATGCTTAGGTTATGGGTTCAGTCCCTGGTTGGGGTACATGCAAGAGGCAGCCGATCAATGTTTCACATCAACATTTCTCTCCCTCACTTTCTCCCTCCCTTCCCCTCACTCTAAAAAATTTATTTTAAAAACAACATCAAATAACAGTTTTATATAAAGCATATTATGTGCCAGATACTATTCTGAGCATCTTATGTATATTCAATATTTACTTACCTAAATCCTCACAGTAACCTCGACAATGGTATTACTACATTTCACATTTTAAAAATGAGACTCAAGGGACTAAAGAAGTAATTTGTCCAAGGTCACCAGTTGTAAAGTAGCCATAGATTACTTTCTGATTTTCTGTCTCTAGATCTCTTTCTTACTTGCAATTTATAGTTTTCTGCAGTTGAGTGAAACTTGAAAAATTTAGGTAAAATTTCTGTTTTCATTGTGAAATTTTGGTTAAGTTCAGAAAAATGAATATTTTTATTTTATTTTAGAATACGGTAATCTCCCCCATTTTAACAACAAAGAGATCAAATGTTTATAATTTTAAAGAATATTCAAATAAGTATAGGTACTATAGAAAAACACTTGTCAATTTTAACTGCCTTAGTATTGTATCATAACAAAGAGGTTTGTTTAAATGGATTTGGTTTTACCATAGGTCAAGGTATAGATAAATTCTACCTTTGGAAAATATAGATAGCATGGCTAATGTCTAAGGTGTCAGTTCTCATTCATAAGCTGCATTTAAAAAAATGTTTATAATTTATTAATGTTTATGATTTATTAATTCTTTCATCTCTTACATTAAAGTTAAATATTTATAACTGTCTGCAACTCACTTCATAGAAATCTTTTAACAAACATGTCAGTGTGAATCATTGAATGATAGTAAATAGAGAGCCAGCTTCAGCCCCTTAAGCAATGCTACCAATGTATAATGGAAGAAAAGCAACACAAAATACTCTTAAAACTCAAGATCTAAATATTTTCAGTTTAGTAACCAATTCAGATTATAACATAGTCAGTGAATTGGAAGTATCATGATCCAATGAGAAATCTAAAGAACTAATATTGCTTGTGTAAATATTTTCTTGTTACATTTTTCTGTTCTCATGTAATTTAGTGTCTTGGTTTTTTTCTAGTTTATGTCATGATAGCAATTTTCTGCATCGCATCAGCAATGAGCCTATACAACTGTCTTGCTGCACTAATTCATAAAATACCATATGGACAATGCACGTATGTATCTCTTATGAGGAATCCCTGTAATATTGGTATTTGTAATTTAAAACAATTCAAGAAAAAGTAGGAGTCTTATTTTAAACCTGTGCATTTCATTATACATGTGGCTATTTAAATTTAAATTAAATTAAACTAAAATTCAGTTCCTCAGATTCATTAGCCACATGTAGCTGGTGCCTCCGGTATAGAAATGTGGAACATTTCTAGCATCACAGAAAGTTCTGTTAACATTTTATTAATTTATTTTATTATGTCGTACTTAAAATCAAGACTCTTAAATTGGTATTTCAGTAGTTTTGTTGTTACTGTGGTTAACATTTGTCTTTTCTCATATTAAGTGAGTATTTTATTTCATCTGCAGCATAAACTATTTCATCTGTTTTTTTGTGTGTGTTTTGTTTGTTTGTTTTTATAGGATTGTGTGTCGTGACAGAAGCATTGAAGTGAGACTTATTTTTCTCTCCGCACTGTGCATAGCAGTAGCTGCTGTTTGGGCCGTGTTTAGAAATGAAGATAGGTATAAGTACTTGGTGTATTTGCTTTTAGCCCATGGATGGATTATTTTATGTCTTTCCCTGATAGTTATTCATTATTATGGAATAATGATTATTATGGAATTTCTTTGCTTTGTATCCTAAGGCACCATCATCTTAAAAAAAGTTACTTGTTAAATAAGCAGATCTTGTGCTAATGGATTTGAGGTCATATAGAGGAGGAAATATGAACCATGTTTTAAACATCTAAGCTGAAATAGATTTCAGCATTTAATAAAGTACAGTACAGTGTACTTAGTTCTGGTATAGACACACAGTGGAGTCCACTGCAGCTATAAAGAATGAAGACCATCTCTATGAATTGATATGCAGTGATTTTAAGAATATATTTTTATGTGAAAGAAACAAAACACAAAAGAATATGATATGCTAGAGTATAATACCTCTCATTTAATAAAGAAGGAGATATAAGAAAATAGACATATCATCCATTTGCAGGAAGGACAACCAGAAAAAAGTATATATTTAAATTCATTTAATGGTTTATTCATGAAATTATTAAAGCCCAATGGATTTAATGGCCTAAAATTTGGAACAAAGTTCATACACCCTTAGGCAGCTTCAGGTATGATAAATCAAGGGCTCATTATGCATACCAGTTTCTGACAAATTCAAAGATTAAAGAAAAATATGCCCTTACGTCTGATATATATTCATATGTCTGAGGTAGTCTTTCCACTTTGTCTTAATATAGTAGTATTCATTATTCTACTAGGACAGTACATTACTAAATATGGATAATATGAGAGGGTTTTTTATTATTATGATTGATGCTTCATTATTGAGTAGTCAAATCATAATAATTGAACAGTATTACTTTAGTGATCTACTCTTTTAAAGTTCCATCTAAAATAACTGGATAAAACAATAATACAGTAAATTCTCTTGATTTTAGGTGGGCTTGGATTTTACAGGATATCTTGGGGATTGCTTTCTGTCTGAATTTAATTAAAACACTGAAGTTACCTAACTTCAAGGTAAGATATACTACTCTGCTAGCTAAAATAATTTTTCTGTATAAAATAACTTTTTAAGGTATAATTTTTTATATAATGTACCTATTTTAACTGTGAGGTTTATTGAAATTTTACTAATATGGAATTTTGTAACCACCATCTCAGTCAAGTAAAAGAGCATTTCTCATGTCTTCAAAAGCTCTATCATGCCCTTTTGCAGTCAAACCTAAACTCCAGCCCCAAGTAACCACTGCTAGCTAAAGTGTTTTTAATCATTTATATAATATGCCTAATTCATAAAATTCTTACAGGGCTAAATATCAGGGAAGAACATTTGTTTGATTGATGTGTTTCTTAAAGCAAATGGGATAAAGAAGATAAAAGTTTTAATGTGATTTGTAGAATAAAACTACAAATAGCAATAACCATTAATGCTTTAAAAAATAGTGTTCAAATGTATGCTCACATGTTTGTTTATAACTTGAAAAGCAATCTCTTAAATAAGATATGGGAAGTTTGACCTGTAATTTGTTTCTTTCAACAGTCATGTGTGATACTTCTAGGCCTTCTCCTTCTCTATGATGTGTTTTTTGTTTTCATAACACCATTCATCACAAAGGTATGATATTTTTGAAATCCGTGAGAAACATGCTAAAACGTGAGAATCTTAAACCTGCTGTTAGGTGATTGGTTTGGCAGATGTTTATCCCTGAGTGAGTTTTAATTCTCTAATTCTTAAGAAACTTGTCATTGAAATTAGCCTTTTAATAGGATATATTTTCAAGCTTTTAAGCCATTCTGCGCAATAAAACATGTGTCCTGACTGGTATGAATGCAAGAATGTCCATAAATTTGCTTCCTACCCTTTTTAAAGTAAATTTTCTTATTGTGAAACAATAAATGTTTTTTGTAGGTGCTATAGACAGCAAAAATAATGAAAATGTCTCATTGCTACTTTCATTTCTGGATTCCTCCTCTGAGAGGAAGAAGGAGCACCACCATGGAAATCCGAAGCCCTGAAGTGTAGCTCTGTAACCTTTCACTCCGGACAAGTCAGGAGTATTCCTAATCCATTGTGCGGAGTATTACTAGCATTTCATTATTCCTCTTCCATCAGTAAAATTCTTTTGGTTGCAACTGACAGAACCCAACTTATCCTCTCTATACTGAAAAGGTCCCATCTCTCTCTAGGCTGTGGAGAGGCCAGCGTGGGTCTGGCCTCAGGAGAAATTAGACACAGGGCCACATATGATCCTTTTCTACCTCTGTTCATTTGTTTATTGTCTCAGACTATTTTTTCCCATGAGGTTAGAGTCATAGCACCTGGCAGCTCCTAGGTCTCAATTTTCAGCTCTGCCCCTAGCCCCTCAACAAAATGAAGGTGCAGTTCTCAGAATAAGGGGGAGGTGTTGGTTGAGTGAAGTAGTCTCTCATACCATAGACAGTTTTTCTGCCTTGTCCCTATTCCTGCCTCAGAAATCTATTAATTATTGTTTATTTCTCCCACTTTCCCTATTTTATTTTGTGTCTTACTTTGTAACTTTCTATCATCTCGTTATCTTTTGTCACTCTCACATACTGAATATTTAATATAATCACTACTTTATTTTCCCATTAGTTCTTTATCCATTCTTTAGCCACGGCTATCTATGAAATCACTGTAAACTCTTTACTTCTACAATATAACAGCATAAGCATGTGCCCCACTGGGGAGCAAAAATTGCAACTAGGTAACAAATGCAGTTAACTGCCCCAAATTTGGGGCGCCCAGTCGTTTTCCTGTGCCTTGGTGATGAGCCATTTGACTCATTAACTCCATTTAGAATAGAACCCTATGAAAGCACAGAATTAGTGTTACATTATCACAAAATATTAGGTTATAACAAAAATTGTTAACTTATTAAAGGATTTTTTAAAGTTCTAAATAATGTTATCTTAGCTTGTATCAGTTTATATTGGTGCAATAAAATATTTCTGTGAGTCACTCCATCAGAGATCTCATAATGAAAGTAAAGCATTCTCTCTGCATAGCAATTGTCATAGGTCAACAGACTATCATGGCATGTGACACATAGTTTACAGGGGCTTCAGCTATAAACGGTAGCTAAATTGTTGTTTTAAAATAATTTTTCCATTCTGTTTTAACACTGGATTCACTTTTTAAATGCCAAACATGTCTGCCAGCAAACAATTTCTAATTCTTACCCATAAAAACATTTTAAAATCTTAAAGGTGTAGGATAATAATAAAGATGTCTTTGAGCTCTCTTTCTTCCTTTTGCACTTAGGGAATTAGGCATCTTCTGTTTTTCCATCTTAGTTCCCACTGACTAGGAATGGACTTCCAGCAATCTGATCAGGTAGAAGAAATTGAAGTGCTCTTTGTTCTGTTCTCTGTTACAGGTTTACTTTAACTCAGTCTTCGCATTCTGGTTTGTTTTTATTGAGGGTATAGACCTTACTTTTAGTAGGTAACTCAAAGTGAAAATCAGATACATAATTTCTGATTTTTGTGGTTCTCATCGAAAATGTCGAGATTTTTTTATTTTTTTAATTTAAATTATTTTATTGTTTGTTCAGTTACAGTTGTCTCCATTTTCTCCTCACCCCCCACCCCCTCTGAACCCACCTCTCTCCCTTGCTTCCACCCTCCCCCTTGATTTTGTCCGTGTGTCCTTTATAGTAGTTCCTGAAAACCCTTCTTCCCACTGTCCCCTCCCCCCTCCCCTCTGGCTATTGTTAGATTGTTCTTAATTTCAATGTCTCTGGTTATATTTTGTTTGCTTTTTTCTTTTGTTGATTATGTTCCAGTTAAAGGTGAGATCATATGGTATTTTCCCTCACCACCTGGCTTATTTCACTTAGCATAATGCTTTCCAGTTCCATCCATGCTGTTGCAAAGGGTAGGAGCTCCTTCTTTCTCTCTGCTGCATAGAATTCCATTGTGTAAATGTACCATAGTTTTTTGATCCACTTATTTGCTGATGGGCACTTAGGTTGCTTCCAGCACTTGGCTATTGTAAATTGTGCTGCTGTGAACATTGGGTGCGTAGGTTCTTTTGGATTGGTGTTTCAGGGCTCTTAGGGTATAATCCCAGCAGTAGAATTGCTGGGTCAGATGGCAGTTCCATTTTTAGTTTTCTGAGGAAGTTCCATACTGCTTTCCATAGTGGTTGTACCAGTCTGCAGTCCCACCAACAGTGCACCAGGGTCCCCTTTTCTCCACAACCTCTCCAACACTTGTTTGTTGCTTTGTTTATGATGGCCATTCTGACTGGTGTGAAGTGGTATCTCATTGTGGTTTTTAGCCATCTTTGATGGCTAGTGATGCTGAGCATCTTTTCATGTATCTCTGGACCCTCTGTATGTCCTCCTTGGAGAAGTGTCTGTTCAAGTCTTTTGCCCATTTTATATTTGGGTTTTTTGTCTTCCTGGAGTGGAGTTGTGTGAGTTCTTTATATATTTTGGAGATCAAGCCCTTGTCTGAGGTGTAATTGGCAAATATGTTTTCCTATATGGTTGACTCTCTTTTCATTTTAATGCTGTTTTCTTTAGCCATGCAGAAGTTTTTTAATTTGATGTAGTCCCATTTGTTTATTTTTTCCTTTATGTCCCTTGCTTTAGGGGACATATCTGTGAAGATGTTGCTGCATGGAATGTCTGAGATTTTCCTGCCAATGTTTTCCTCTAGGACTTCTATGGTGTTAGGACTTATATTTAAGTCTTTTATCTACCTTGGATTTGTTTTTGTGTATGGTGTAAGTTGGTGATTAAGTTTCATTTTTTTGCATGTATCTGTCCACATCTCCCAACACCATTTCTTGAGAGGCTATTTTTGCTCCATTTTATGGAAAATGTCAAGATTTAAATATTAGACATTCTAGTCCTGGCTGATATGGCTCAGTTGGTTGGGCATCTTTCCTGCAAACCAAAAAGTCACTGGCTCAACTCCCTGTTGGGGCGCTTATAGAAGGCAATCAGTTGACAGTTCTCTCTCACATCAATGTTTCTCTCCCTGTCTTTCTCTCTCCCTTCCCTCTCTCCAAAAGAAAATTTTAAAAAGCATCAGACATTCTAAACATGTTCTTGACCATGGTATTAGTAACTTTTGGAGTTGGCAGGGCCAGTGGCTATGAGTACAGGCAGTTAGAGCTTATCTTCATTTTTATTTCACCCACTATTGTTTTGGTGTAGTATTTTGCAAATAATAGTTACTCAGATATCTTTGAATGTATGAGATAATATCAGTGATGGTCTTTAGTTAAATGTTTTAAATAACAATTAGAAAACAAACCAAAGTCTTCATCTGAAAATTGAATCACATGATGGGAGTTCTCTGTAAAGAACTGTATTCAATATTTATTTTCCTAAACTTCTGTAACTTAACCCTTCAGTAACCTGAAGCTTAACATGAAAAGATTTCTGTAGCCAGTGATTGCATCCTTCTTTCTACTTAGCTCAGGTGTCAGTGAAGTCCTCTTAAAAACACTCCAGTGATTTCCCTTATGCACCCCACCCACATGTAAAATATTAGTTAGTAAATCAAATTTTCCTAAAATTCAGCATTTATTTATCTTCCCACTACCTGTCCCGGTGCTATATTTATCATGATGTGAAGCTTGCTACCTGAAAATGTTTCCCCTTTCCACAACAGACTTAGCTGTGGTCAGGAAGGAACTTTTTAGTGAACCCCTCACAGCCCACATAAAAAAGCCTGAGCCAGACACAAGGGAGGAAATTCAGCTAAGGTTAATATTTTGATTGGGACAGAACAGCAGGCAGGGCTGACATTGGACAGGAGTTAGTCTGTAGAAGCTTCTCGAGTTCCTTAGGGCTGGGTCTCCTCAGGTTTGACTTCATTGTTTTGTCATTGTGGTGAGTAGCCAGAGGTCAGATGTATATTTATTCAAATAAAGTTACCCAGATGTATTACAAATCTAAATATTGGAAAACTTAGTATATCTTGTGTCCCTATTAATTGTTATTGCTGAAAGTGACTAAGGACACGCAGCTTATGACATAACTAAAAGCACAAACATTTATAGCCCATTAGAAATGCTAGATATTGTCAATACAGATCAGTGCTCAAAGCTTCACTTGAATAAGCTGTGTGTGGTTTATCTGTCAGTTTCTGAAAATTGCTGAGTTCTCGTAGAGTGGAACAGTGTGCTAGGTGGATTCTGTTTTAGATGACTCCAGTTCTTGCTATCTACACAGACCGTTTTAGGAAAAAAGCAGTTTATGGCACATTTTTTATCAGTTTATAGTAGGCCATAAGCCATGGGGCCAAATCATTCTTAAATATGGGCAGATTGTTTCCTTTAAATGATTGGACAATTCCTCTCCTCTTTCTTCTCTATTCTAGAATGGCGAGAGTATCATGGTTGAACTTGCCGCTGGACCCTTTGGGAATAACGAAAAGGTAGCGATGGCCGTTAAACAGAAATGGCTGCCAGTGTGTGTATGTGTGTCCAGTTAATTATTTGCCTCCCTGTGTAAGTCATTGGTCATGTAGTGCATGTTAAGGTATTGTAAAACGTTTTTCTCACAAAATATAGCCCTTTTCTTAGTTATTCTAAACTATTAAACACCTATTGACTTGGGTTTCATCCTAGAATGATGGAAACTTGGTGGAAGCCACTGCTCAGCCCTCAGCTCCCCATGAGAAAGTAAGGATTGTATTTCATTGGCTAAGTAAGGATATATTCATTGGACTTTAAATTATACCCTCTGAGACAAGATTCTTCTTTGGGGAAAAAATCCAGATTGCACTCTCCCCCCCAAAAAAATATCCGTTTCAAAGCCTGAGTCCTATTTTTGCTAAAAAGGGAAAAAAGGTTAGATGTGGGGATACTAGCATTAATAGTTACCCCTACATGTGTTTTATTTTTCCAAAACTTTTTTTTCAAGTTTTCTGTGTACTCAGTCTATATGTGTTTAGTTTATATTCTCTTATTTCAAGTTCTTCTAAATGTCAATTTTAAAATGTTAAAACAATTATTCTAATATTAATCCTTCCCTTTCTAGAAGATACAGGTAAAGATTCCTATGATGTTTATTGGTGTCCCCCTTTTTTTTTAAATATTTACAGTTACCAGTAGTCATCAAAGTACCAAAGCTGGCCTATTTTTCAGTAATGAGTGTATGCCTCATGCCTGTTTCCATATTGGGTTTTGGAGACATTATTGTACCAGGTAAGCAATTGTTTGTAACAATTTCAGTAAAAATATACTGATCATTGAAATTTGTCAAATGTATAGTATCTGTTAAAAGTTACCTACTCTGTTTGAAGTATTTCTGGCTATCACTAGAGCTGGGATTAGTGACAAAGAAAGGAAAAAGCTTTTTGAATATTAGAAGACAAAGCCCAGTGTGTTACAACCAAAGTATATCTTCCACGGCTCAAATGTGTCTTAAGAGGAAGCAATTAGGATCAGTTTGACCTTCCTTAAGAAAGTATAATATATATCAAAACCCCTTTCAAAAGTTGAATTTAATAATAATCAATGTATTACAGTTCTTGTCACTTCTATTTTAAAAGAATAATTGTGTTTTAGGGGAAGTGGTTTAGAGGGGGAACATCGTAAACACCACCTGACAGAGCCCTTTTACACAAAACAATATACAGTGTGTGGTAGATCCTTCTCCTAACATGTCTTCTCTGACAGTTACTGCAGTTCCATGTTATTTTCTTCACTGGGTTACCTGTAGATTAGACTTAATCCTAGCCCATTAATAATATAGTTTAGAAGTAATTAATATTTCTCAATCAGCTGACACTTTGTCCTTCCTCACTTACTGTCTCCCTGGGTATATCACCTGCCTGTGCATCGGTAAAGAGTACTGCCGCCTCCTCTGAAGAAGAAAAACAACTTTTCATTTACATAGTAAAGCCAGGCAGAGAGAAAATTTAACAGTGTGTTGCCTTTTGAGTCACTGTGGCAAAGTCCAGCATAGCAATAGTCTTATTTCAGTGAGTCTCTTCCATTCACATAACTGATAAAGTAGGAAGAGCATTCTATTGAGAAACCTTAAGATTTCTTAAACACCTTTATTTAGATTTATCCACAATTTTACCAGTGTCACACCAAGTACTGTATAAAATCCTGTATGTAGCACTTAGCACTGAATTGGGGGCGGGGGGATATATAAATATTGCATTCTTGAGGTAAATGTCAAAACATCTCAAATATTTTTCCAAAGAGTAAAGTTTTGGACAATACATGACTTAATTCTAAAAGCTAAATTATAATTTGGGGAAAGGAAGTAACATTTTTTAAACATGTAGAAATGTGATTAAACAGGAAATATAGTAAAAATAACAAGGAACTATCAAGGAACTTATTTGATTCGTTATGTAGGGACCAAACTACTGATAAAAATAATACATTAGTTACTTCAAACAACTAATAAAAATAGTAGTTATTTGATGATTCTTAAATAGTTAAATATCATTCTAACTGATTCATAACAGTGTTTAATTAGTAAATATAATCTGAAACAACTTCTTTGTAGAGGTCAACAAGGTTTTTAAAAGAGGTAATAAAATGGGTTATTTTTGCATACTTGCATTTTTTACAAATGAGAGCTTATATGAAATTTTTATTCGAGCTCTTTATATTAAAGCTCCAACTCATTTTATTCTACTAGAAAGGGAGACTTTGATCACAATTTGAAATTGCCTTCCTGATGTTCTTTTAATACATTTTTCTAGATGGTACATTTAAAAACTAAATGAATCGAACAGACACAGAACATTACAACCAGTAACAGCAGAACACGTATACTTACATTTCAAGTGTACATGGAACATTTTCTAGAGTATATGTTAGACCACACAACAAATCTTACCAATTTTTAAGAAGAAATGAAATAATGACAAAAATATCTTTTGACCCTAATGGTATGAAACTGGAAATTAATAAAAGGAAAAAACCTGGAACATTTGTAAATGCATGGAAATTAAACAGTGCACTCCTAAACAACCAGTGAATCAAAGAGAAGTTAAAAAGTATCTTGAGACAAGCAGAGAACCACAGCATTCCAAAACCTATGGGATGCTATAAAAACAGTTCTAAGAGGGAAGTTTATAGTGATAAGCATTTACATCAAGAAAATAGATCACAGATAAGTGACCTAACGTTACACATAAAGAAACTAGAAAAGGAAGAACAAACTAAAAAGTTAACAGAAGGCAGAAAATAATAAAGATTAGGACAGAAATAAATCAAAGAGAACATGAAAACAATAGAAAAATTAGCAAAAGTAAGAGTTGGTTCTTTAAAAACATGAAATTGACAAACTATTAGCTAAACAAACCACGTAAAAAGAGACAGGACCCAAATCAATGAAATTATAAATGAAAGAGGAGATATTACAACTGGTACTACAGAAATATAAAAAAAAAATTTTTTTTAAGATTTATTTATTTATTTTTTAGAGAGGGAAGGGAGGGAGAAAGACAGAGAGAGAGAGAGAAACATCAATGTGCAGTTGCTGGGGGCATGGCCTGCAACCCAGGCATGTGCCCTGGCTGGGAATCGAACCTGCGATACTTTGGTTCGCAGCCTGCACTCAATCCACTGAGCTACGCTAGCCAGGGCAAAAAAATTTCTTCATAACATGGAATAGTAAGCAGCTAATAAAAATCATGTTGTTAAAGACCATTTACCCCTGTCTGGTGTAGTTTAGTGATTGAGTGCAGGCTGCGAACCAAAGGGTCGCCAGCTCGATTCCCAATCAGGGCACATGCCTGGGTTGTGGGCCAGGTCCCCAGGAGGGGACATGCAAGAGGCAACCACACATATTGAAAAAAGAAAAAAAAAAAAGATGGTTTAATGTATGGAGAAAATGTTTAAAATATGGCATTATGCTAAAAAATTAGCATATAGAATTGTATCCACAATTTGAGGTACTCTAATTTTCTCATGATGCAAAAAGTGAAGGTTAAATACAATACAACATGTACTGCTGCCACAGGTAGTTGCTGTTGTGGGTTTAAGAGAATAACATGGAATGTTTTTTCTGTTAAGGCCTATTGATTGCATACTGTAGAAGATTTGATGAGCAGACTGGTTCTTCTTCTTCTATATACTATGTCTCCTCCACAATTGGTAAATTTTTTATTTTTTTCTTATTATGTTGTATAACCCTTAGGAAAGGGAAAAGATCTAAAAACAAGGAACTCTGAATTCTAATTCTTTACCATTAATTTAGAAGACAACTTTTCCATCAAAAAAGAAATAATTATACTTTACTCCCTACATCACAAAGTTTTTGAAGTTTAGGAAATTATATGTGAAAGAAGAACATTAGGTTCTATACATAAAATGCTTGTTAGAGCACCTGGCACACAAGTAGTTAATACATAGCATAATGCTAGATTTTTTAAAAAATACTGCATGGATAACTATATATAAATGAATTTATGGTACAATAACATCTCACCCAGGACAATAGAGGTAGTTGTTAGTTATCCTTCTGTTTCTATTGAGAACAGACAAGAGCAGGAAGGAAGCTAATAAATACTACTGAACATATCAAATAAATAACTCAAAGTCCAAAAACCAAATTTCTTTTAGGTAAATAACCTGCACCAGAACCATTTAGATACTGTTCTACCTAAGTTTTCAATTGCACAGTAGAATTAAAGCTAGTAAATTAAAAGTGTAGGTTTATAGTAGAGTGTTGCTAAAAATAGGTACCCTGACAATAGGAAAGAATAGCTAAGTGAATGAAGAGATGAAAAAAGAAAAGCAATCTGAAGCCATTCAGTATTTACTTTGTAAGGGCATTAAGAGTCTAGCAGCAGTTAGTGTGGATCATTAAAAGAATCCTCAATGAAAAAGCATAGAATAGGACTGTCTGTCAATTCTGCTGTGTCACTTTGGACAACTCACTTAATTCTCCTGGTTCTCCATGGCCTCATCTGTAAAATGAGGAGGTAGACTAAATTGTTCATAATGAGACCATGAGTCATTAAGAAAAGATCAAATGATATTTGTTATGCTTTTGTTGAATAAGTCCATGAAATATATAATCAATATTAGGAAGATTTTCCAATGCAACCATTAGCACCTACAGGTACAAATTTTTTGTTACCTAAAATGTGGAACAACTCAGAAACCTTAATGGTGACAGATACATGAGACTTTCTTAAATTATCTTGACCCATAGTTGATGACTAGGATAATTATAATTGAAATACCAACCACTTTCCAAATTTTTCAAAAGCTCCATAGAACATCTTTCCTAATTACTTTCTTAGGAACATAATGAAATTATGAAAGGAGTCATAGGGGAGAATTGTCCTCAGATACTTGAAAACCAGTACTCCAGCGTATTTTTATTTGAAAACCAGTACTCCAACATGTTTTATTTAAAAACCAGTACTTCAGCATATTTTTGTACTTGCGAGCCCTTAAATATCGATAAGTCAACAAAATGATTTTATTGCTCTTGATTAAATAACCTCGTGGCCTGAGGGGATATTTCTTTGGAAGCATTCAGGAATGACTGATACTTGGTGCTCTTTTTTGCAGCTTACGCTGTGGGCATGATACTCACGTTTGTTGTTCTGGTGCTGATGAAAAAGGGGCAACCTGCTCTCCTCTATTTAGTGCCCTGCACGCTCATTACTGCCTCAGTTGTTGCTTGGAGACGTAAGGAAATGAAAAAGTTCTGGAAAGGTAACAGCTATCAGGTGCGTGCTTATATTTGAGCTACCAAGTTATCTTATGAAATGATTCACTGACTGACTTTATATATCTGACTCTAGAAACTGACTATATATATCTCAAAGCTTTTATGTGCCAAAAATTTATCTTGGATCTCAGAATGTCCTTTAAGTTTTTTCCACTACTGCCCCCTTCCTGTCCACCTGCTGCATCATCAGTTCTCTCCACCACTGCAATCTGATGCCAGAATCCTGGTGACGCAAGACAAAACTACCAGGAAGGAGTGGGAGGGCATCAGAGAAAAGCAAAACACATTTCAGCGTGACTTTTCAAAATCCACACAAAAGTAGACTTCATGAAATATAAAATTCTGTGTTTACTGAATTTTGAGACTGACATTAGCTACTTATAGTGAGGGTCCTAAGGTTTTGCTAATGAAAAATATAACTTCTTCAGCAAATAAATGGGCCTAAATGAAATAAATAGGGCACTTGTTTCAGATTTAAATGGATCAAGATTGACCTTTCTATAAAATTACAAAACAGAAAATCTTAATACCAGACTCAGTTATGTTTGTTTCTCCATTAAAGTTAAACCCCTTTCCTTTTTTTTTTTTTTTTTTTTTCCTGAAAGCGCTTGGTATTCCAGTAAAGTTTGTTTGCATTGAAATGAAAGAGGGTTGAGAAACCCTAGCCTTTGAGGTCAGGGTCATGGCATTGATCCCTTCACGAGGCAGTTAGCTCTGCTTTGCCCTGTTACAACAAACTGCCATCCTCCATCCACCCTCATTCATGCGTGCCAGTGGTCACATGAACAAAACAGAGGTACTTTGGGTGGATGGCTGTAATTGTTAGTAGATAAACCGTTCAAAGTTCATATCCATCTTGTGGTTGGTCTGTTGTAGTATCATCTTTATTTAACAAGAGGTGATTAACACGTTAAGTTAAGACTACTATAACTGGGAAAAGCACTGGTCTAGAATTCATTGGGGTAAATCTTATAATTTCTCTAAGATTTGGATAAAAATAACAATATCATCCCTGCTTACCTCATAATGCCATTATCTCAATATGTATTTATACACATGGAATTAGTTTATGTTCACGAGGTTCATGACTAAACTAGTGAGACAGCTTGCAACTTTTCCATTAAGAGGACTCCCGTATAAAGTTTTGTAAGAGATTCAAAAAAATAAAGTGTGTCCTACATCACATACTCTACTACTATACCAGCCTTTGAAGGCCACATCCCAAGGAGTGCTCTTTGCCATCATTTAAAAAATAGTTTTACATTTCTTCACTTAGCAGATGTTTATAGAGTAGTTCTATGACCCAGATATTATTTTAGGAGCTGGTGATAAAATATGAACAAGTTAGAAACAGATCTAGTCTCATGGCCTCTTAAAAGTTGGAGTGTAGTGGGAGTGCAGATAGAGTCAGCAACAACAAAGTGTGATAAATGTACTAGTTATGGTAGGTGGCCATGAAAGCCAGAGCAGGGACCCCAGTGCTTGTGGGTTCATTACAATCAAGGTGATTTGGGGAAGGCTTTTGAAAGAATGTTAAATTTATGTTGAGACTTTCACTGAGCCATGTGTTCCACATTGAGGGAACCATGTCTTCAAAGGTCAGAGGGAAGAGAGCATGGCCCCTGGTCTGGGAGCCGAATGAGGTTTAGGATGTCTGCAATGTTGAGGAAGCCTAGGGGAGCTGTAGGCAGTGAAAACTGGACAAGGAAGCAAGGGTAAGAGCCTGTAGGGTCTTGTCAGCCACGGTAAAGAGTTTGGATTGTATCTTAAAAACATTAGGGACCCTTTAAGGGTTTTAAGAAACGTAGAAAATAGATTAAAGGAGGGAGCAAAACTTGAGGCAACTCTCACAATGAGAGGTGATAGAACCCAGAATTAGGAAGGTAGTGTGAGACTGAGAAACATGGACAAGGTCAAGAGAAATTAAGAGTCATGTTTAATGGGATGTGATAATAGATTCAATGTAGAGAGGGGAGACGGAAGTGGAGTCCAAGGTTTCTGGCTTGAGTAACTGAGTGGGTGGGTGGTGATATTATTCACTGAGATAAAGGGGTACAACAGGTTTGAGGAGGAATATGATAAATTCATTGTTGGGTAAGTTAAATGTTGGCTATGAATTCAATTTTGAACATTTCAAAATACCAAGAAAGAGGGAGATAATAGGTAGTTGAATAAATGTCCCCTTATGTTGAGGAGACAGAACTAGCTAGAAATGGAAACTTGGGTGTGACACGAGCACACTCAGTGAGTGAGTGAGAGTGTTGAGGGAGAAAACGGGCCTCAACAAGAATTGTGAGCAACAGGTTTCTACAATTAGAGCACCTATCTGATTAACCGATTATAACCTAAGGACAAGGAAGATAAGCAACACGGGGAAATTTTGTTTAGGGTTAGCATTAAATATCCTGGGTTAGAATTTAAATTTGGGACTATTGGAGCACATGTGATATCTTACAGAATTAAATATATTTTTAGTTAGTTTTATCATGTCATTTTATTTTTATTTATAAAATTTTTCCTTTCCCTTTAATACAGGGTGGTACAAAAATAGGTTTATAGTTGTATGCAAAACACAATTTATTTTTATATTACTGTTTATTAATTATTGCATTATTTTCCACTTGAACAACTGTAAATATACTTTGCTGCACCCTGTACATTTTTAAGGTATTTTATTATAAAAATATGTGCTTTTATAGAAAAATTTGAACTTGTAGAAAAATAAAATTAAGTTTACCCATAAATCCCACCAGCTAAAGATAGCCACTCTTAAGATTTAAGTGCATTTCCTTGTATGTCTTCCTAGATAAATGGGCTGGTGATTGCATGAAACCACACTCTAAATCATTCTATCCAACATTGCATGTTAGTGTTATTTCATGTTAAGTTTCTTGTAAAAACCATTTTATTGGCTGTACATATGCATGTACCATACTTTATTTTACCATTTCCTATTGGCACAGTAATTTCTCTTTGGCGGATTGTCCAGATAATAAAAATTGGAGGAAATTTTTGTGAAAAGATGTTCGTTAGAGTACTTCTGATCATCTTTATTCTAAATAAATGACTTGTAGGTTAGTGTTACTGGCAGTTACTGAACAAAAAGTTTTATATAGACCCTAACCCTGCTTTTACTTTGATTATTTTTCTTTTTTGTGTTTTAATTACAAAGTGATACATGTTTGCATTTTTTGAACAAGCAGTACAGAAGTGTGTAAAGTAAACATGGAATTCCCTTTTCTAACACTTCTGTCCCTGCACCCACTCTGAAGAGGAAGCTACTTTGAACAGTTTATGTGGAGCTTCCAGATCTTTTTATGCCAGCTCATACTATAAATAGTTGAATGCTTAGAGATGTTGTATGCAAAGCTGTAATAACATTGTGTCTCTTTGGAAGTATTCTACAGCTCCTTTTTTCTAAGGTTTATTCTAGCACCTTTCATCCTCTCTCCATATTTATTGAAAAGAACAGGGGTGGTAGGTAAGGAAAGAATTCAACTAACAGATGCCTTTATATTGCCTTTGAACAAGTGCTTTGCTCTCACCATCTTGAGTTTCATTCTTTTTTTTTAAAGACTTTATTTATTTACTTTTTAGGAGAGGAGAAGGAAAGGAAAAAATAAGGGAGAGGAACATCAGTGTACAAGAGATACATCGATCAGTTGCCTCTCACAAGCCCCCAACCAGGGGCCTAGCCAGCAACCCAGGCATATGTGACCTTTTGGGTCACAGGTTGGAGCTCAGTGCGCTGAGCCCCTCCAGCCACAGCTGTTTCATTCTGAAACATTATGATCTTGAAAAAAAAAGTATGATTCTGCTTCACAGCAGCTGCCTAGAAAGGGAAAGATCGTTCCTGCTGAATGCAAAGCAGTAGTAAATGCTCCAGAACGACAGGCTCCAGGGCTCTGATCACATGACATAGTAGCTAAATTAGGCAATCAGTTGTAGGAAAGTCCATTAAGAAGTATCTGAAAACATAGGACAACTTTGGCTATACACTTCTCACTTTTGTAATGTGGTGTCATAATTTTATTAGGTGAAGACATTCAGAATATAAAGTAACACAGTAATAAAAAGTGGAGCCCACTGCCAGTCTGACTATGTAGTAACTCTGACTTTGTTAATTATTAGCTGTGTGACCTTAGGCAAGTTACTCAGCTTCTTAGTGTCTCAGTTTCCTCCAGTGTAAAATGGGATACAAATCATCGTGCTTAAGAGGGTTGTTGTAATATAAGCAAAATGCTTAGAATGGTGCCTGGTGCAACATAAACATGATAAATGTATTTGCTATTATTATTTGTAAGAATTGGGGGTTTTGTTTTGGTTTATTTGGTGGTTTGGCTGTTATTTTGCAGATAATTTACTAGATTTACATTTTCCTGGTTTGGATATTAAAACTTTGGGTCTTTGTTAAATCTGGTTCCTTTGATGTTTATAAAAGGATGTGATAGCTATCACAACCTCAGAGGGAAAAAAATCTATTAAATGCTTTCATTTTCCCACTGTGTACTAGATTCTTTAAATATGAAGGATGAATATTTGCTGAAATTTTAATGAAGCTAGTGGCAGAATATTGTAAACTGCTGTCAAGAGAGAATCTGTTTTTCTATAAAACTAGCATTTTTGAAAGTTAAAGAATGCAATGCCTTCACAAAATTATTCCCCAGTTAAGGTTTTTGAAAAAAGAAAATCTCTCATTGCTTTTGTCTAACTTTCAAAGTCAAAATGAATTTAACTTGAATATTGTCATTTGTGGTATATTATAAGGTATATATAGACAATATACTATAGGCTTTGGCATCAGTTCTGGCAAATTACTCAATCTCTTTAAATTGTCTCCTTGTCCATAAAATGAGGTTGAGTCTACAGGCAGGTAGGAGATCATATAATCCATGGTGGTGAGTTAGCCCAAGACTTGGTGAGGCAGCTGGATATTGAAATCAGATAAAGTTAAGCAGATGCTTGGAAAGTGGAACAAGGAACCTCAACAAGCCTGGTAAAACAGGGAGGAAATTAGGTGTGGACCCAGTGTAGGACAGCTGAGGGTCAGCCCTGAAGACCACCCTTGGGCAGTGACTGGCTTATCTCTTAGGATAACAGCGTAATAAAAATCCTTTCCTTCCTCTCCCCCTGCTTTCATTATCTTTATCGCATTGCCAGTTTCTGTTTCCAGAATATCCCTTATGTAACTCCCAACTCAAAAGCTGCATTCTCCAAGCAGATATATGAGTTTTCCAGTTGAAATTAATTTTACCTTTCCCCATAATTTTTTTAGACTTTGTACTTTAAACACATTAACATTGCCTTGTAGCATAGATATTTGAGTATGCCTGCCTCATTAAGTTATTAATGCCCAAGTGTTAGGAGCCCACAGTGCTGACAACAGTGTTTTTATACACTGTGAGCTCTCAGTCGGTGCTATTGAAATTCTTCAGGTAAGACGGCCGTGATATTCAACCCTTAATCCACTGACCTTTAGTCTTGTGTGTGTGTGTGTGTGTGTGTGTGTGTGTGTCTACAAGCTTCCTGATTGTACTTCAGCAGCCCTCATAAAATTACCAAAATTCTTATACGGTATTGTAATAGGCACTTTAAAAACATTAGACAGACTTACATGTCTACAATCTTTTTACATAATCATTTTTTCCAAGTGCCAAAAGTCTTTGCTACTGTTTTCAAATAATCAAATAACACATGTGAGATAAAAGAAAGTCTGAATCAAAGGTGACAGCATGCATGTTTATGGTGTTAATCATCTGGCTCTCTCTAACGTCTGATATGAGGGTGGGGTACAAGCAGCAGAAAGCAGGACTCCCCACGGGAGACGTCCAGGCATCCTGGGCGGCCCCAGCAGCCTTTTCATGTTATTTTCAACGATCAGATTGCACCTTGTTTGTTGCTGAAACTTAAGACACTTCATGGAAATACAATACTTTGGCATTTTACAGAGTCTTTTAAAACTTCATTCCATGAATTTCTCTGATCAAAAGAAGTAGCATTTCTATAGGACTTCACTAAAATAATACTAGTTTGGAAAGACTTACTGTATATTCTCCATAGCTTGAAGCTATTTAACTCAGTGTTTTCTATGAACTTTTTTTCTAGAATGCTTCCAGAATACAGTATTTGGTTCCGTTTATTTAATTTTCCTCAAAGTCTTAGTTCTAATTAGTGTAAATAAAGGTGTATTTTCTCTAGAAAGAAAAATCAAGCAGTGGCATAATTACTTTGGCACATAAAACAATTAAAAGGAATCATTGTTTTAGGGGATTTTTGTTTCTTTCTAATCCTAAATTGGTAAAGTTAGTTTATGCAAACATCTCCAATGAACAGTTTTACTCTGGGTGGGAAGTAAGTTTTTAGTTTATTGATATTCTGTAAACAGTGGGTTTGTCTCTGTTAAATGTCACTAGAGCTTCTAATTATTTTTAGAAGTCACAAGCTGTGACTGACAAGCCAGAGTAGAGACACTTAGAACAACGCCACTTTTGTGTCAACAGCTCTCCAGTTACCCCACTGTGATGAGCGTTTCATTAGACTTTCTAGAGATTGGTTCAATTATAAATAAACAGAGCTGTCAGTGAATCATAGGTTTCTATATTGTTTTTACCAAAAAAGTCAGTAAAAAAAAGTGAATATAGAGCAGAGATGTTTACTTCTCAATAAGTTGATTTCTTTTGGGGGGGGGGGTTTTCCCAGTCCAGGACATGCTTGTTGACTCTAGAGAGGGAAAGGGAGGGAGAGAAACACTGATCGACTCTCAGAGTGTGCCCCGACTGGGGACTGAACCTGCAACCCAGGCATGTGCCCTGACCAGGTATTAAACCTTCAGCCTTTTGGTTATAGGATGATGCTCCAACACACTGAGCCACACCGGCCAGGGCTGAAAGTGTGTTTTAATTTGTTTTAACTAATATATTTCTGTCTTTATGGATTTGATTAAAGTGCTAATGAAGTACCTGCACATTCAGAAAGAAGCAGCATGTTCTCTCTTAGAGTATGCAGGCTACTATTTCATTAGATTACAGTTGCCAGGGTAAACAGTTCTTGGTGAAGAAAGAGGGTTCCCCCACCATCCATTGTGCTGAGGCTGCTCTGAGGTGACCTCTTTCACCCAGAGCTTCTAAGTTACTAGAAGAAAGGAGGGGCTAAATATGTCTTCCATGCTTCTCCTTTCCCTCCTTTATTCAAATAGTAACTAAAATCAACTCTTTAACAACTTCATCTTATATTTCATGTAGCGAAATGCTTAATAAATATGCTGCCTGCCTTGATTTGGTTTTTTTCCCCTCTTCCAAGTGCTATGAACACGTAACTACCTTCATCTAGGGGGTATGTTTGGCAAATAAAGGGCCTCAAAACTGATTGTTTGGGGATCTGTGATGACTCATAGAGCATCAGCAGGTCTGGGTCTTCAAAGCCGTCTCTATTACTTGAAACAGTTGTCAGCTGAAAGACTCAGTTCTGATTTATTCTTATCTAGCAAGTGCTGAGACCCCATTATTAGAAATTATTACTCTGCCTCTACTTCCAAAAAAACATGAAAACTTTTAGAATCGGTTTACAAAAATAGAATATTTATCTTGCTGGTCTTCTAATTCTTGATTAAAAAAAGAGGCAAAAAGTCCATCACAATACTGAAATTGAATCATTTATCTGAAAATCTTTGACAATATTCACAAAGACATTAGGTATATTTTTCTGTTTTTAAGTAATTTTATCTGATTAACAGGGGAAAACACTGAAAACATTGAAGCTCTATCTTCTTTCCCAAATACAGAAAGCTTTCCATGAGAATATGGGCAGAGCCAAAGTGATCATTTGAGAAAAGTGGTAATTCCTCTAAAGTTAGCCTAGAGCATATGTGTTCCTGATTTTGTTCTCAGATATCATTTGACCATTAAGTACCTTCAAGTTATTTGTTTTGAGTAGAAATTTTTGTCATGCAATGTTTCCAAAATGTCACATATTTTAAAATTATCTTAAGGTCCTTTCAAGATGTCATTCAGGTCACACTGTCCCCAAGCCAGCGGGTATTCTCACAGTGACGTGTGGGGGCACTCATCGTTTTGTCACTTCCAGGAGTGTACACTGGCTGGAATAGTACCCTGGAATAAGCACCAGGAGTATCTTCCTTTTGTGGTGGAGCTCCCACTGCCGTGAAGGGCAGTGTTCATGCAAGGAAATGGAAATAGTGGAAGACCCAGAGAAGACGCTCATCAGATTGGCACTCAATCCAATGAGGAGGCTTTCTGAAAGGTTCAGTCTCACTTTGACCATGTCCCCAAGAGTATGGATGCTGAACCAGTACATGCTCCGAAAGGAGTGCTCAGTTCCATAGAGCACTCTGTCATTTTAAAAAATTGAGAATCCTTTTGCTACACTAATGAATATTGAGGGCAAATTGAAAAATTTCCATTTCCTAACACTTCTTCTTTTGCCTAGATGATGGACCACCCAGACTACGCAACAAGTGAAGAAAACCCTGAGGCAGCCGGTCAGCAGATTCTCCCACAGTAACAAGTGGACCTGCCATCCGTGTCTGCTGATTTTCTGCAAAGAGTGTTTGACATCTTAAATGGACTTTTGAATTGACAATCTGAAAGAATCTCCAATGACATACTTGCAAATACACATTTTTAAGAGCTGGTACTGACAATTATATCATAAGTAATTAAAATACATTTGCTTTTAACTATGTTAAAGTTGTGCCTTCACATTAAATAAAAGGATATGGTCTGTATAACTTTCAAAATGTATTATACACAGTATATTTTTTTAGAAAAAGTATTGATCCATCCCTGGATTTTCTTACTGAAATCAATTTCTTTTCAACTCTAATGATAGATAAAAGTATTTCTGTCAAAGTGAATTTCTGAACAGATTTTACTGAAAAGAATTATGCAAATTTTATCCTCTATAGAAATGAATATTTAAGATTATGCAAGAACACAGTTCAACAATGAAATTTTGGACTTTTATCACTGCAAAGGTTAGAAAAATATAATTTGGAAATATATATCAGTGCATATTTTTATAGCATAAGTTTAAAAAATTTCCGGTTCTTTTTTAAACTTGAGAACCCAAATTGCTTCAAATTTCTATGTATTATATTAGAATATTTTTCTAGGTAGAGAGAAACATAACATATAGAACTAGTCATTAAAAGGACACAAAAACTGGCATCCTCAGTTTTCAGTGGACTGTTTTTTCTTTGAAGGTATAACTTAAATTTCTGTGTTAACATTCAGTTTCACTATAGAATCTCTGATCTCTGAAGTTTGGTTCTGTTGCTGTTTCGACTTGGTATTTAGTACAAAATTATATACTGATACATATGACTCATTGAGTGTAACACCCCTAACAGTCCTCTTGGCCACCATCTTGATTCCTACTCCTTTCTTCAAAGGAAACCACTGTTAACTTTTTGATATTTTGGTGGATAACAGAATACCAATATACCAGGCGTGTTTCAGAGGAAAACATTGCAGAAAAAGACAAGAGACTGGGCGTTAGTGTCGATTAAATTACATTACCAGAGTGTGAGTAAATGGTCTTAGCACAAGACACTGGTGTCTCAGTTTTCTCATCTGCAAAATGAGTGGGTTAGACCAGCAGTTTCAACCTTTTTCATCTCCTGACACACAGAAACTAATTACTAAAATTCTGCAGCACACCAAAAAATATATTTGCTGCTGATCTGACAAAAAAATAGGTATAGCTTTGATTCACTCACACTGGACAGCTATTTTGTGTTGGCTGTTGTCATTTTTTAATTTGACAATCTAAGGGAAAAGGGGTCAGTGCCCCTGACTAAATAGTCAGTATTGCATGTTTTAAAAATTCTCATGGCACACCAGTGTGCCTTTTGCAGCACATTGGTTGAAAATCAATGGGTTAAACCAGTTAATCACTGGTACCTTCCAACTTGAAAAAACATCTTTCTCATTCTTTGCTAAATCTCAGATGTGACCTTGAACATTTTCCTGGGAGTGAGAGGTCAAATTACCTTTTCATTTTCTTTTACTTTCTCTTAAGAAATTTCCAAATGACAAGTAATTGCAAAGGCAGCAGATTTCTGCGTTCTCTGTAAGTAATATTCAGGATATGTGAACAACTCTATTTTCATTCTAAGGCCAGTTCAACTGATTAAAAGATAAAGCTATTTATTGCCTTTTCAAATGGATCAGAGCTTTGGTATTTGAACTAAATTTAGCATTTGAGGGAGTTAGATACTTTTCTTTAATTGTTAACTTTCCACTGAGTAAATTGTAGATAGAGAAGCTCCGTCAACAGCCCTCTTTCCACTTAGCACACTGTGGATCAGTTGGTAAGTGACAAGTAAGTATCTGGCAAGTGGAGGTTAATCCTAATTTTGTCTCCTGAATATCAAGTTTGAATTTTTTCCCAAAGAATCTAATTTATTTGGCAGACTCTGATAGAGAGAACAGATTAAGTGCCATTTTAAAGATCCAACTATATTTTTATTTATAATATCAATAAAATGTTTGCCAAAATATAGCTTTTTTAGTAAAATGATCTGCATTCTTATCCTAGCTTTGTGATATTCAAAAGTCTCAACCATAGTTTATAAAGAATGTTAAAGAAAATTTTACAAGTAGAAATCTGAAATTTTGATTCTCTATTTTATCCAACCATTAGTTACTGAGGAGGTAAAACCTTGTTCTAGTTTACTATTAAAATCTTATTGATTAAATACAAATAAATAATGAAATTCCTTAAGTTTCTCTATCCTCATTGTTGATTTTTACATTGTTCTTAAATGATTCTTCTACCAACTGAGCTGAAAATGCTTAGAGAAATTACAGTAAAGTACAGAAATGTTTTTTTTGGGAATCAAAATAAAGGAAAGGGAAGAGGAAAATTTGGCTTTAAAAGGTTGTATCATTTCTTCCTCTCTTGCCTTCCTACCACCAATAACTTTAAAGAGAAGAGAAGTTGTTTTATTCCTAAATATGCCTTAAAAACATTTAAAAACAAAAATAAGATATATTGTATTATTACTTAGTGAAAAATGACTACTTAGAAATTCTCTATGAACATTTTTGTATAAGACAGAAATCACTAAATATCTCAAATTGCAATGTAGATGATATTTTTATTTCAGTTTAATAGAGGTTTGTAAGGAAATACCTTGCTATCCTAATACATTACATTTTCTTCCAGCTTGTATTTCTTTTTTAGATTAGCAATACCTTATTAGTACAATCCAGGATTTATTTCTCTTTTGAAAAAAAATTAACCCATCCACTGTTGGCTCTTATGAAATTTTAGTGCCCATAGAGATTTTGGTGAATTGGTACATTTTATAGTAAAAACAAATGAGCTTTCTAGTTCCTTTTTGTTCTTTCAATTTTTGCCTTAGATATAAGCAAACGTTGCTTATGTTTGCCTAAAAAAATGTTTCAACTATTTTATTTAAGCTTGGTCTCTAAATTTTAGGCTATTCTCAACCAATGAGATTCAAAAACATTAAAGATTGCATTTCAGAATGGTGTGATGTACTAGTTTGAAAGGCTGTGTAGTTTCCCATTAACAAGGAAAAGAGTTGAATTTATTCAAGGTGATGACAAACAACAAACACTACAATTTAAAAAATTTATTTTCAGTGACCTATTTATCCTAGAGTATAATTCCAAACAGGTTGGGGTAACGCAAATAAAATAAAAACACTGATTATAAATCACGTTATACTTCCTGAAAGAAAAATATTTTATAAATTCAAGGGCTCTGAATCAAATTACTCAGCCCTTTGGAATTTGAAATAAATTGTGTAGTATCCATGATTTGGATTACTGAGCTTTTGGAGTGGACGAAATATCTGACAGTAATGCACAGGCCACATTGTGTTGGAGACCATGTATGTGAATTTGCTTGTTTGAAGTTTCTTAAGGGCAGCTTTTGTATTAGCAAAAATGATCATTGGGGAAAAAGTGATTTCTTAAATTAAAATTTTAAAATAGTCTTGTATTAATGGCAGTTAAGGGGCAACAAAAAATATCAAATACTTAATGTAATCAGGTATTTCTTTAATTATACATAAAAATTTGTAAACAACATTGCTTTGGAATATGGATTTTTAAAATAAATATCCAAAGTTTATATAGTTGGTTTGCAAGATTTCCTAGTAGAAAAAGTCCATTTAAATTTGGTGGTTTATACCTTCTGTTGTATTTTGTTTAAATGAGAACCTTTTTAAAAATACATGGTTGATACATTACTTCTTAGATAATTGATTTGAGTGTGGAGTTCTTTCTTTAACTCTTTGATATGTAATTTAGTATAAATTAATACTTTATAATACTATTAGGCTTTATTTTTTTAATGGAACGTGATGTAAAATTTAAAAATTTTTGAAGTATAAATTTAGCAGTGCTTTAAAGCTCTTCAATACGTGCCAGTACTGACAAGAAAAAGTTTTTTAATGTATTAAATTCATTATGGTATGCAATAAATTCTATTTTGAAGTAAAATTTGAACTTGTTTATTTTGAATGGTAAAAAAATAATTGAAAATGAACTAAAAGTGTACTAGGTCATCCTGTTCATATAAAGTACAAATGGTAATAATTACTTACAAAATTGTGTGGTTATTTAAGTCTAGCAAATTATCCCTAAAACCTAGATTCCGTAAGTGTCATTTCCAAGAAATTTATGTTTATATACAATAGCCCTTAATAAGTATTTACTGAATTAATGTATGGACAGTTTTTACTGAGAAATGAGCATACCTCTTGTGATGAACATTCCTGGCATTTTTAACCTCGCTGATGTTGCTACAAATTACTAAGATCCTACTGCTATCCTACTTTTTAATTCCGATGTGGTTGGCCCAGATCGGTTTCTGTAGTGTGTTTGTCTTACCCACATGTTGAGAACATCCTGTTGCCCCCATGCCTGCTGTGGAGGAAGCTCGCTTCATCCGACAGGCCTGTATGTCTAGGAAGATGCATAAGGAATTGGGAAGAGTGGCTGCCTGTAGGGAAAGAGGGTGGTATAGTGGCTAGGGCACAGAGGTAAAAAGGAAACATTTTTCACTGTATACTCTTGTACTGTTTGCATTTTCTATCATATACTTCTATTATGACTCAAAATACAAATTATAAAAAGCTACTGAATTATTTTCCTCATAACAGGTAAACATACTAACAGATGGTTAAGTAGTAAATTATTTGTATCATTTTCCCTTACAATCTCTGGAGCTTGTTCCCTATGGTTAAGGAAAGTGTGGAGAGTCTCATCATTCTATATGCAAATACTCATTCAAACACCATTTTCAGTGTGTTACCCATTCATGCCCTCAGTTGTGACGTATCCTCCAGGCCACCTACCCTGTTTCACTCTTCACAGAGAACAAACCTGGTTTTCTGCCAGAGTCAAAGAGGGACAATTTGCCCAGCTATGTGAAGTAGAAGAGGAATCTGTGGCTCTTCATGAATGATAAAATTAGAAAATAACCATTTTAATCCATTCATTTACTGATGGGCACCTAGGTTGCTTCAACACTTGGCTATTATAAAATGTGCTGCTATGAACATTGGGGTGCATAAGTTCTTTTGGATTGGTGTTTCAGAGTTCTTAGGATATAATCCTAGTAGTGGAATTGCTGAGTCAAAAGGCAGGTCCATTTTTAGTTTTCTGAGAAAATTCCATACTGTTTTCCATACTGGTGGTACTAGTCTGCAATCCCACCAACAGTGCACTGGGGCTCCCTTTTCTCCACAATCTCTACAGCACTTGTTTGTTGCTTTGTTTATGATGGCCATTCTGACTGGTGTGAAGTGGTATCTCATTGTGGTTTTAATTTGCATCTCTAATAGCTAGAGATACTGAGCATCTTTTCATGTGTCTCTGGATCCTCTGTATGTCCTTGGAGAAGACCTTTCAAGTCCTTTGCCCATTTTTTTAATTGGGCTGCTTGTATTCTTAGACTGGAGTCGTGTGAGTTCTTTATATATTTTGGAGATTAAACTCTTGTCTGAGGTGTAATTGGCAAATATGTTTTCCCATACAGTTGGTTCTCTTTTTATTTTAATACTATTTTCTTTAGCTGTGCAGAAGCTTTTTATAGTACATTTACACAATGGAATTCTATGCAGCAGAAAGAAAGGAGCTCCTACCCTTTGCAACAGCATGGATGAAACTGGAAAGCATTATGCTAAGAGAAATAAGCCAGGTGGTGAAAGACAAATAACATATGATCTCACCTTTAACAGGAACCTAAACAGCAAAACAAATGAACAAGCAAAATATAACCAAAGACAATGAAATAGAAAACAGGCTGACAGTGACCAGGGAGTAAATGGGAGGGAATTTCAGGGGGAAAGGGGAAGGGTTTACAGGAAGAAGTATAAAGGACACATAGACAAAAACCAGAGGGGGGTTGGAAACGGGAGGGAGGTGGGGAGGGCTGGGGGTGGGCTGAGATGGGAGTAAAAAGCAGAAAACTGTACTTGAACAGCAATTAAAATAAAATAAAGAAAACCATTTTAGGGTGCTCCAAGATGGTGGCAGAGTTAGAAGCTACACTAACCTCCTCCCAGGACCAAAACTGGAATTACAACTAAATTTTGAAAAATCCTGAATAACCAATTGAACACTATCTGTAGAGAAGCTTTATACAAGGACAGATGGAAGAAACCACATCACCACAAGGAGACTGGTAGGAAGTGCAGAGGC